CACATATGTTATTAGATATATTGTAGGCAGTTAGACAAGGCCAGCCTGTGAGGAGACAATTATGGAGGACAATTAAGACACTTGCACTGAAGGCCAGCATTGTAAAAGAAGAGAAACTATAGCATCCAAGTGTGCTTCTTCTAAAGATGAATATCAGTGATTGATATTCTAAGTAGGTATTAATCACTTGGGGGCAAGATCTTACCCATCCCCTCCTGGAAAAATCCCTGACTAAAATTCTTGTGCACTTGCTGTGTGACTTGCTTCCCCATTGGATAATTAATATCACATAAGCGTCAATATTGGTCATAATCTTATTGGCTGATCATAGTTTTGTCCACCTTGTGACTTCTCATTGTATCAATATTGCCAAAGGGACTGTACTTACAATCTTACTAGTTGAGTATAGTTTTGTCCTACCTTAAACCCAGGTCACCTCATGGCTTCATCCCCTAAAATGCCTTTGAGAGAGCCAGGAATTTAGCTCAGTGGCACTGCGCCTGCCTTAAAAGCACCAGATTGTGAGTTCAATCCCCAGTACCGAGAAAAAATAAAACAAAACACCATCTTTGAGAAGCAGGATGGGTGAGTAACCCACTTTCTAGTTCCTCTTGTCTCTTTTGGAAGCTATCTTTCTCTCAATAAAATGTTCTTTTTCTTTCTTTCTTCCTTTCTTTTTGCTACTAGGGATTGAACTCACAACCTGGTGCTTTTGAGGCAGGTGCAGTGCCAATTAGCTAAATCCCAGTCCCTTCTTTTTATTTTTTTAAATTTATTTTTTAATTTTTGTAGTACCAGGGATCAAACTCAGGACCTTGTACTTGTGAGCCAGGTACAGTACAACTGAGCTAAATCCCTGGGCCTTCAGTAAAATTTTCCTACTCTGTCATTTCTAGAATTCATTTTTCAATTTTAGAGATAATGAACTTGAGCTTTGGATATCTATCAGGTTTGGGGGTTACATCTATTCCCCTTATATCAAGTGCCATGAGAATGTAACAGTAGATAGGAAACACCAGGATTTGGAGGCAGAAAGCAAACTTTATTACATTGTTGGGATAGTTCCTCAAAGAATCAGGCATCTGTCTTTCATCCTTCTACAATTTATATAGGGTTTGCAAGCAGGAGCTAAGTACAGAAGTAGAGCAAGGAGTTGTGATAGAGAAGTGCTATACAATAAGACAGGCCATTAACTTGCCTCCATTTTTTTTCCACAGAATGTTTTGTTTTGGAAATGTAAGTCTGTGTTGCTGGGCTCCTGCCCAATGTATCAAAATGGTTTGTGACTGTTTGAACTGTGTGAAGTTTCAGGAATGTTCTATTAAGCTCTGCTCCTTCACAAGAAGGTTCTGTTAATCTCTGCTCCCCTCTCAGGAATGTTCTGTAACTCCTTAGTGTATGTCCAATATATCAAAACGTTTGTGACTGAAGTGTGTGACCTTTCAGGAATGTTCTATTAGATTGCCACCTCACAAGAAGGCTCTGTTAAGCACCACCTGCTCTCAAGAATGTTCTATAACTTCACCCCTCTGCTTCAGGAATATTCTGTAATTTTGCACCACTGCTTCAGTGAGCATGCTCACAAGACATGTATTTCAGGAATGTTCTGCAACTCCGCCCCCTTACTTCAGGAACTTTCTGTAACTCCACCCCCTGCTACATTGAGCATGCTCCCCTACCCTGTAGATCCCCATATAAGGAGGCTCTCATTTCTGGTAGTGTTCAGACTCCTCTGAGCCCACTGGGGCTTGCCAGTGTAATAAAAGGTTTTTTACCTCTTCAACTGACCATCAGATTCTTGATTCTTCAGGGAATGAGAGCTTTCACTCAGAGCTGCCACACTGAGTTGTAAGATTCAGCTGTGTCTCAGAGCTTTGTTCCTGAGCCATCACAGTGAGCTATAAGGCTCAACTGTGCCTCAGAGCTGTGTTCCAGAGCTGTCATACTGACCTGTCAAGCTCAGCTGTGCCTTCTGAGCTGTGACACTTGGCTGCAACACTGAACTGTAACACTTAGCTGTGTCTCTGAGCTGTGACAGTTAAGTTGTTTTGTTTTGTTTTGTTTGAGACAGGGTCTCGCTATGTAATTGAGACTGACCTGGAACTCACTATGTAGACCAGGCTGGTCTCGAACTCACAGTGATCCTCCTGCCTCAGCTTCCCAGCCTCCTGAGTGCTGGGATTACAGGCATGCACCACCATGCCCAGCTGTGACAATTAACACTGAACTGTAACACTTGGAGCTGCTCTGCTCTGTCACAACAGTTGACTAGTTATGTATGATATCATTATTACTGATTGGTCAATAGCAAGTTCAAATTTGGGTTAGAAAACATTAGTTCAGGGTAAGGTTGGCTAGATAGGGGAGACACTTTTTTGGAATATGCATCAGTTCAGGGCAGGGTCTGCCAAGTTGAAATAAATAAGGGATACATGTACTTGGAGTGGGCATCAGTTCAGGGCACAGTATGCCAAGGAGAAATTTGCTTGGGCTGAAAAATAAAACTGCTTATGGCCGACATTATCATGGAATAGTGTCCACCTGTCTGGCAGACATTTGCTTTTCTGTCTCAATTGGAACAGAGTTATAGAGTATCCCTGAATCCTACTGTCATGGGCAGAGTCTCTGTGATCCTGGGCCTAACCCTCCCAATGACACAGGACATTGTGGAAGAATCAGATAGAGGGCCTGGGGATTTAGCTTAGTGGTTCTACTGCCTGCCTCCCAAGCACAAGGCCCCGAGTTCGATCCCCAGTATCCCCCCCCAATAATCAGATAGAGATCAAAAGAGTAAAAGCAAAGTTTATACTTTAATATAGGAAGCATGTAAGTGTATAGCTGCTTTCTCTCAGAGAGATAGGCTAGGTTGCCTGAAATGGAGCCACTGTTGATGGTGGGTGTGAGGTGTTAACTTTATAGTAGTTGGGGGTCTATCCTATCTCTGGGCGGAGGGAACCCTTATTTGATTGGTTGATTGGCTTGTTACTAGGGAAGATGGGGAAAGGTCTTTGGAGACTTTTCACATTTTAGGGTTAGGTTCCTTTTCTTCTTTAACTTCTGCAAAATAAGCTTTGCAGGATACAGCTTACAGAGGAAGTGCAACCGCAAGCAGTCAGTTTTTTGTAGGTGGTTAGGTCTGTTTAATTTCTTGTCAAAACTCCTTGGAGTGGGCAGTGTCCCTCATTTTTTCCTACGTAAAGGTTTCTATCCCTGAACTACTGAGGACATGGCAGGTATCACACTTGAACTAGCTGTGAAATGGTTAATAAATATGCTTTTTAATTCCAAACTACTGTTTGACAAGATTAAAAAAAAAAAAAAAGGCTGGGGATTTGGCTCAG